AGGTCTAGGTTTTAAGAGCACATCCGAAGACCACTCTTCGGCCCTTGGGAAAGGTCTTACTACAAAGTAAAAGTAAGCCAACCCAGTGCCTGACCCTAACCAAGCCCAGCCCTAGCCTGCCTAGAATCCAGTCTTCTCAGAATCCTAACGCCCAAGAGACGCCTCTCCCATGGACTCTTGTGCTAGACTCTAGAACAGTGGAAATAGCAACTGTAAAATACTAATAATTATGCAAACACACTGGCTGAGTGATTACTCTGCCATAAGCTTTCTGACATTCATCTCATTTATTCCCTACTCCAATTCCAGATGAGGTAGGAATTGTTATTACCCCATTCTTTAGATGAGGAAACTGAATCTCAGAGAGATTAAGTTACTTGCTCAAAGTCACACACCAAGGACTGAACTCCCCATCGGACCCTGAATAACCTTTTCACAGCACTGAAAGTTAGTGAGGCAGAAGGGGAGTTGGATGGTCCACAACCCCCACGCATCCCAGGAGTGGGGGTTTCCTCTGTGCCACGGGACCACCACCTGGCTGACGCAGCAGCAGGACCAGCCAAGGTGGGGCCGGTCCACTAACCTGGAAGCGGCAGGCTCGGTGAGCAGTGCCGGCAGGGTGCGTGGCATGGAGCCGGGCACAGGGCAGGCTGCCAGACCCCGGTGGCCAATCCTGTCCTTTGAGGTGGAAGAGAACCCGGGCGTGGGGCTCCGCTGGCGTCACAGCCGCTTCCACTGAAACAGCCCGCACATCCCATGGGACTGGCCGTTGGTGGGGCTCAGTGACTCGAGGGGGGACCACCTGAGGGAGAATGACAGGGCTTAACAAAAGAGGTTTCGGGGGAAGATCTAGGAAGATGGGATCCCAGCTTAGCAGAAGAGAACCTTTATGGGGACTCAGTTTCCCCCTCTAGAATATGAGGATGACTGCCGGGGCTGGAGAAGGCTCCCAAGCCATACCCAGCAGACCTCAGGTCCTGAGTCCTGTTAGGCCGAGAGTCCCTGGTGCCCCCTCCTTACCTGCTGAGTGGCAAAAGGTGGGTAGGAGGCCCGGAGAAGTGGCTGGGCCCTGGGCCAGGGCTGCAGGAGCAGAAAGGTCTCAGATCGGGAGCTCAGAGAGGAGTTGGCAGGTGGGTAGTGGTCCACCTGCTGTACACGGAAGTGCTCAGGGGCATCTAGGAGCTCCAGGGCTGCCGGCAGGTAGACAGGGTCCAGGGGAGCCTGGCCACAGTCCACTGAGGAGGGATAAGACGGAGACATGATGACGGCTACAGAGCTGGCAGGGGCTGACCTGAGTGCCATGCTGGGGCAGTGGTTGTGGGCAGGGGAGGGAGAAAAAGGCTGTAATGTCCCTTTTCCTCTCACCACCAGTTCACAGATGAGGTCACTGAGGCTTAAAGAACCTCACACAGGTAGTATGCAGCAAAGCCAGGATTCAGATCTGAGTCCAGGACTGGATGCTTCCCAGCCATTCCTTCTCCTTCCCACGGACCTCAGCCTCCTTTCCAATGCAGCCTTCTCGATGTCTCCTTTTCCCCACTCCTCCCCTCCATCTACTCGCCTCTGATACCAAGGCATTTCTGGGGGACAGCTCTTCCCAGACTGGACTAATGTGGTAAAAGATGGCAATGAAGTGAGTTTTCTCTGCCCTGAATCCTTGGCCAGGCTTGCTGGGCATCCACCCCGCCTCCCCCATCATTGCTATGGCAACCTGCACCACCTTTCCAAGCTTGCTCCCTTCTTCCCTGTACCGACTGGTACCGAATGCAAGTGTGGGATGGGTGGGTGCAGAAGGAGGTGGGGGAAGAGGTCTGTGAAGCCACTTGCTTGCCCTGGGGGTGGGGTGGGGACCATGCGCCTGGGGAGACGGTGAAAATGGTCAATCACCAGGACAAAAGACCACTAAGGCCATATTGGTTTGCACTATGAACTCTAATAATAGTCAGCATTTTTTGAATGCTATCTGCAGGGGTGAGGATTTAAATATTGTATGTGTATTAACTCTTTGAGTCTTTGTAATAATTCTGTGAACCAGGTTCTATTATGATGAATCCCATTTTGTAGACATAGAAAATGAGGTAGAGAGGTTACGGTGCTTGCCTGTGGTTCCACAGCTGGAGGGTGGAGGAGCTAGGGGTCCATCCCAGGCATCAGCCACTAGACACCCCGCGTCTCCACCTGCGCCTCTCTCCCCACTCTCCACTGCAACGGTGCACCCTGCAGGCTTCACTGCCTGGACCGCCTCTCCTTTCCTCTCCTCTGCCTGGTGGCTCTTCCCTCCTCATTCAGGGCCAGGAGTGAATACTGCCTCCTGAAGGAAGCCCTCCTTGGCGCTTTCCCACTAGTCTCCTGTCTTTTGCAACCCTGGGTGCCTCCTCTGGAATTAGTCATCTTCCTATCAACCAGGGACCTTGTCTTGCTCATCCTGGAATTCCTCCAAACTGGGAAGCTCTCCCCAGAGAGGACTTCCTGGGAGCCTGGAGACCTGAATTTAAACAGATGAAACTTGGGTCAGTCATTGACATTTTGAAACCTTGGTTTCCTCATCTGTAAAAGGGGCAGGAGCATTAGGTGACACTGGACGGAGCATTAGGTGACACTGGACAGGGAAGGGCTGTGTAACTGTGGAGCACTGTCTGGAGCGAGGAGGCATTATTCCTGCTGTGTAATGGATTTGACAAGGTTTTCCTCCTCTCTGCTAAGACTTCCACCGGGTCCCTCGGGGTGGGGAGCAGGTGGCTGAAAGCAACACCACAGCTAGCTCCCTCTCAGCCCCACAGCTGGACTGTGGGTCAGGGGTGGGGGAATTGGTTTCAACCTCCTTCCTGGCCCTCCCCACCAAGCAGCATATGCCTGAGAGCTCTTCCTGCCCCCTGCCTCCCACCCCCCACCCCCTGCCCGAAGCATAACAGGTGACCACTGCTTCCTGGGGGCAGCCACTGGCTTCAGGTTCGCCTCCTACTCCTTTGCCTCCATAATTATAAGATGCTCTTAGCCCAACTCCCACGGACTCCCATCACCCAGCGCTGGGCTCCGTCGATAGGGAGGAGGGCAGAGAATGTTTCACTGTCCTTCTGTCTTCTGTGGCATCCTTTGCCTTGCAGCCACAGCCGGTTCCCTAGCCCAGGCCAAGAGAGTCTGACCCCCACCCCGAAGCACAGGAAGTTGCTGCCCTTTCTCCAGTGACAGGAATCTTCCCAAGGGCTCTGGAAGGCAAGGATGAGGCATCCCTGGAGGCGCCAAGGTCAGGGAGCCTCTGGGAGAAGGGGAAGGAGGGGCTTGCGTATCTCGCAGGTCCCAGGCAAAGGGACTGCTTTCCACTCCCGAGGTGGGGTGGGTTGGTGGTGGGGGAAGGAGGCTAGGAAGGTGCAGCGCTACAGACCACAGATGAAGGAGTAGGGGTGACGCTGGTGCGCCCGGGACCCAGGCCGCCAGGTTGGATGGCCGGGCTGAGGGGCCCCTCGCAGACGGCGCGGGATCGGGAAGCCCCTGCGCCAGGCTGCCCCCGGGTCAGAAAGGAGTTGCCGAGTCGTGCCAGGCAGGAAGCCTTAGGGGCAAGCAGCTAGGACAGGTTCCCGAGGGCAAGAGCTCTCCGACCCTCAGGGCGCTGCGGGGCGACCCCGCTCAGGGTTCACTCCGAGAATCCGAAGGTTCGTGGCTCCCGGGCATCACTCGCGCCCTCTCGGCCCGGCCAGGCCCGGCCGCCCCCCGCCCCACGCCCCCTGCCCGGCCCTCCCCTACCGCTGACCTCTTACGACTTCCAGGGCGAGGGCCACAAGGAGGCAGAGCCAGGGGCCGTAGGGCCCCTGAGGGGCCGCCGCCGCGCGCCCGGCCATCCAGGCGCACATCCTTCCCACGGAAGGCGGGGACGAGGCGGGCGGCTCAGGTGGGCCCGGTCCCGCCCGGCATCTCCCGCGCCGGCCCCACCTGGCTCGCTGGGTCCCCGCCGCCGCCGCCGCCGCCACCCGCCCCGCGGCTGCAGTTCCCAGACAATGGAGCGGGAGCAGCGGGGTGGGAGGGAGCGAATCGCCGCACATGGGCTGCCCCCTCCACCCCGCCGGGTCCTAGTGCCCTACGGATCCCCAACCCCAGAGCGCTCTGGCGACCCAGGTCGGGAAGAGGGCCACGTGCCTGGAGGCAACAGAGGGTGGCTGCCTCTGCCAGGAGGGACTCGGTGAGTTCTGCGGCTCCCTCTCGGAAGCTCCTGACCAGGGAAGAAAAAGCCACTTCCTCTGCCTCACCCCCACAAGCAGCTCACCTGTGAAGGCATCTGACACCTGAATCAGAACAGGAATTCAGGGACATATGGGATGGGAGCTGCAGGGACAGGAGGGAAGGGCGGGGGCCAAACGGGGCCAGACGCCAACCACCTGAGCCTGCCCTGACAGAGCCCTGGGCCACCGCCGTGGAGGAAGGGCTCCAGGTGCGGACAGCTCTAGTCTCCTGCCCAGCCCCACCTGGGGAGCGGACTTCGGAGGTTGCTCAAAACTCAGGAGGGAAGGCGGGCCTCAGGGGTCCTGGCCCAGCGTTGCCCACCAGGCAGTTTAGGGAGAGGCCCAGAGCAGAGGCCCCAGCTGCATATTCTCATGGCCTGGGCAGCTTACCAAGAAAAACCTTTTGCCCTCTGCAAAACTGATCCAGCCTGTGGGCCTACTAGGAACCTTGGCACAGGAAACTCCTCAGCTGGATGGTGAAGGGGAGGGCAGCCGAGTCTTCTCAGGGTGCCCACCCACCCCAAGACATCGCAGGGAAGGGGTGCCCCCTCCCCCCAGCAAGTACACACATTTCCAGCAGTGCTAGCCCTTCCTACGTTTTGAAACGGAAGCATGCCTTCCTCATTCCTCCCCCTGCCAGAGGGAAGGGCACCTGGTTCCAGCCTGCCTTTACAGCTTTCCCCTCTGCCAGCTTCACACTGCCCCCACAGGGAGAAGTCGGGAGGCGGAGATGAACGACAGAAATGGGTCTAGCAGTAGAGGAGACACTGAAGCGATCCAGACTTCGAGTAAATACATTTTATTCAGAACAAGATAATAAAATAGCGTGCACTTTATTTAAAACCAACCAAGCGCTGATAAAAATATATATCACTGCAGCTGTGATTCCACATCAAACCTGAACAGTAAGAATTGGGCATTTACTCTTCACATCATGTGACAGGCCTGGCAGAGGAGGACACCCACCTCCACCAGAGCCTCAAAGGAAGAAGTGGCTCCTGACCACCAAGATGGGGCACCATGGTGGAAAGGGGCAGCTGGCAGCTCACCCTGCTCTCCGCAGACCACTGGAAGGAAGAGGAGCTGCCTGCATTCCTCCTGGGCTGCTAGAGCAGGCACGGGTCAGTAGCTCCTTCTTGGTTGCAGGGAGTGGAGCGGGAGAGAATTACATGCAGTTGTGCAGACAAGAAGGCGGGTGGGTCCTCCTTCCTCCTTCCGGGTCTCTGAAACCCCCACAGGGCATATGATGCCTGGCAAGGTCCCACTTGCAGGCACATGCCTGCAAAGCAGCAGCCACATGCCTGCAAAGCAGCAGCCACCTTTGGCTCTGGCTGACGGGGAATCAAGATTCTGAGAGTGACTGCTCTTTTCTTGACACAAAGCAGACACAGAGCACTTTCCCACAGACAGTATGGCAGAGGGCCCTGCTGGCTCGGATTAAGGCACTTATAACAGACACAAGGTACATCCTCCTTTCCCCCCAGCCCCCGCAGGTCTCAGGGGACCCTGTTTCTCTCCTCCCACTTTATCCTCAGGTCCCATCACCCCTGCCCCTCCCCAGTGCTGGGCCCTGAAGAGGACAGGAGCATGCCTTAAAGGACCATGGTTTGGTGGGAGTACAGGGTAGGAGGAAGAGGAACACAAGAAGGGAGCTGGAGACTGGGCCAGGGAGCAACTTCAGAAGGACAGGAGAGCAAGAGCCAAGGCAGCAGCAGAGGGAAGCCAGTTCAGTCACGAGAGACCAATGGCAGTGATGTTTGCTGGCGCAGATGCAGAAGCCAGAAGGGAGGCCCCTCCAACCTTCCCTGGTGAGGCAGGCTGGGAGCAGAGAAAGGGTTAAGAGAGCCAATCCCAGACAGAGGACCTCAGAAGACAGGGCCGAAATGGACTGGCAAGGGGAATGGCCTTTCTCTTTTTCTCTTGGCTAGGCGGGCTGGGGCAGGGATCAAGGTTCTGAAGGTTTGGAGACAGGGCAAGAAAAGGGCAGGGGGCTGGCAGGAGGGCTGTGTGGCCCTGAAGCAGCTCAGCTCTTTGGTATGACACGGGAGGTGCGCGGGGCATCCTGCTCACTCCTCCTCTACGCTGCGGGCCCCCTTGGCTGCTCGCCTCTGGCGCCAGCGCAGCTCCTCCACCTGGCGCTCCAACCCTCGCACCTTGGCCTCCAGTTGGGCCCCAGAGGCCCGGGAGCCAGTGAGCCGGCTCAGCAGGGCGTAGAGGATCAGCAAGGCCAGGAGTAGCACGGCCCGGGTGGAAGGGTCGGGCACCGACCTCACCAGGGCCACAAAGCCGGCCAGGAAGATGACAAGCTTCAGGCCCCATAGGATCCGCCCCAGCAAAGCCAAGACCAAACCGAGGAGCAGGGACACCAGCCAGTAGATGACCAGGGCCCCTGCTCCCCACAGCAGGAAGGTCTGGACCTGGTCAGGGCTGAGCTTCAGGCCCTGGGCGAGGTAATCACCTGGAAGCCAAGAGAGTCACAGAGTCAGCCAACCTGGAGGAGTGGTGAGGGGAGAGTGGGGCCAGCGCCGAAAGGGTGGGAAGTACTGGCCACACTGCAAAGGAGCAGGCTGTCCCCGCAGACTTAGAGTAATAGGGGTTGGAATCTCAGCTCTGATTCTTGCTGGCTGAGACCTTGAATAGATAACTTCCTTTTGTTGAGATGCAGTTTCATTTACTAAATGGGAACAATTCTACTGCCTCCCTAGGCTGTGGCTGGCAATTAAATGAGATACTACAGCTCAGCATGATGCCTGATAGGAAGTGAACAACTGGCACATGGTGGTGGTGGCAGTAGTTCTTTTTTGGGGGGGGTCTGGGTGGGACAGGGTCTTACTTTGTCACCCAGGCTGGAGTGCAGTGGTGTAATCTGGGCTCACTGCAACCTCCACTGGGTTCAAGCGATCCTCCCACCTCAGCTGCCAAGTAGCCAGGACCACAGACACCGCTACCATGCTTGGCTAATTTTTTTTTAATAGAGACAAAGTCTCACTATATTGCCCAGGCTGGTCTCAAACTTCTGGCCTCAAGTGACCCTCCTGCTTTGGCCTCCCAAAGTGCTAGGATAACAGGTGTGAGCCACCACGCCTGGCCATAGTAGTTCTCAGCTTGCTTTTAGGCCACGTCTCTGTGGAAACCTGGGAAGGGTAAAGCAGCTTGGGGAAAAGGCTAGACCCCGACAAAGATGAACTCCCACAAGTAGGAAAGTACAGGCAAAGCTCCGGCTGACTACCCAGTGCTCCAATACTTACCAGCTAGCCCCAAGGCATTCAGCAGCTGTGCCACGATCCCAGACAGAGCAAAGAAGGCCACAGAAATGGCTGATGACATGGCCCACATGACTTGGGACGATGACTGTGGAAACAACATGGAGTGAGATTATAATTAACAACGCTCCTCGCCATCAGGCCTGATCACCATTGTCCAGGCAAGGACTGCAGGAATGTCTCCGACCTGTTTCTCACCCAGTGGTGACGGGCCTTGGGCCTGGCTGAGGGGTCCCTTCCACATCCACCTTCTAGTGTACAGGGATGGCCAACAGGCCATCTCTCCCCTTCCTGAATGGGAAACCGGGGCATCTGGGACTTAATTTAACTGCTCTGCTGGGATACTCTGGAGGGAGTAGTATGTGTACTTTGTGTGAACGACAGAGACAATCAAATACTTTTAGTAGTCACCCTATAAAACTGGAGCCCTGTTAGCTGTCCAGGGAGTCATGAAGGTGCGTGGAGAACATCTGTAAAGGGATAGGATGTTTCAGTGAAAAAAGAGCCTATCAGCTAGACTAGATTACAGATTTAATAAATGACTATCTCAGCCCTTCAGTCCAGCCTATCAAAAGTATGTGATACCATGCTTGGGAGGCCACTAGGTAAAAAAGACAACCCTGCCTTAGGCTCCCAATAAGCCCACCCCACTTCTAGAGGTAAAGGAATGGATTGAGGACTTGGTATTTTGCCATTTCAAGATTCGAGGTCAGATTTAGGCCAAAGTGAGACTCTACAGTCACCCAGTAACATGGGTTTATAAAGATGGCTCATTTCCCAGCCTTTCTGGCAAAGAAAGGGCAGGAGTCAGGAAAAGATAGGGATGGGGCTAAAAGGCCCAAGGATAGAAATAAAATAACGAGGAATTCAAAGGCAAAGACTGTGTGGCTACTTTTTGTGGAATTTGGGACTCTCTGGACCAGGGAAGATGTGGAACCAAGATAAGGTGGCCGATACCAACCTCTCTTTGATTTTTCCTCAATGTGTGCAGTCACCCAGGGACTACCTTCCTTACCTCTGCTACTACGTGCATGGTCTCCGGCCCAATCCAGGCATCCGCTGTCCCCCGCACAGACTGACCTATCTGGGTCAGGAAATCAACTGGGGCCTCTCTCTTCTTCTTCTGCTGGCCTGGTGGTGCAAAGTCTCGATGGGACTGGGCCAGTGCTGAGTGGAGGAGGATGAGGGCCACGAGGACAATCAGGATGGCTTTGAACAGATGCTTTCCCCATGATGAACGGATGCCTGAGGCTGCCATGACTGGGTCTGCCAGGAGAGGAGCACATGGTGAGCTGAGTGCCAGGGTACACACTCTCACCCTCCCAGCTCTGATTATCCCAACATCTTCCTCCACCCCTGCCCCCAGCAAGCATCAAGCTAACCCTGGAAAGAAAGCACTGTTAGCTGACAGAGGAAGGACTGGGACTTCCAATTTAAGCTGGGCACAACCATCTGACTCACAGGTTCCTCTTTCACATTCCTTACCACTTGCATGTTAATTAACTGGCAAGTATTATTCAACACTTTAGAGTGGGTGAGAAGATCTCTCTAAGGTTTGTGCCAGTTCTAAAAATCTGAGGGCCTGTCCCTGTATCGTAGGTGCTATGGGCATAAAAGAATTATGAGACTCGATAAATGTTCTGTCCCAAGAAGCTTATAATCTACTTAAGATAAAGCTGATATAAAAAACAACTTAAAAATAGCACATAAGTAAGATTACTGCCATATAATGGTATAAAGAAAAGTGCTCAGTTATGTGCTCCAACAAGAATAACTGCACATACGCCATCTTCTCTGCAGGACCTTCATGTGAAGCGGCTTTTATGCTCCTGGCACCTACTGGTACAGGTGAGAAGAAACTCAGACTCAGAAGTTCAGCATTTTCCCATGGTCACTGGGCTACACAGGAAGGCCAGGATTTGAACCCAGGCGTCTGCTTCCAAATCCCATCTTCATTAGGAGTCAAGCTATATCATGGGTCTCAACCATGGCTGCTCACTAGAATCACCTGGAAGCTTCACAAGTACCGATGTCTGTGTCCAAGCCCGGAGCTTCTGATGTCATTGTCTGGGTGTGGCCTAGCCTTACACCTGCAAAAGCTCCCTAGGTGGTTCCACGTGCAAAGTTGAGAACCACTGATACAGAGTGACTGCACGCCCCCAACCCCAATGTAGGTGCTATGGTTTGAAGAACAAAACTCATGCTCAAGTTTAACTGTCCTTGGACTCCCTGCAGAGCCTGGGAGCTCCCAGCCCAGCCAAGGATGTTGGATCTTGTGGTCTTCAGCACTTCTTTGCCACTCCATCCCCCTCAATAAAATAGTTTGACCACTTCCCCACCAAAAAAAAAAAAAGAAAGAAATTTAATTGCCACAATGATGGTATTAAAAGGTAGGACCTTCAATAGTTGATTAGGTCACGAGGGCTCAGCCCTCATGAATGGATTAATGCCATTATCTTGGGAGTGGCTTAGTTATTATAGGAGTGGAGCTCCTGAGGAAAAGGATGACTTTGGCCTGATTTCCTCTCTGTCTCAAGTGCTGGGTTCTGCCTTCTGCCTTGTGCCTTCTGCCATATGATGACCTTTGCCGGAAGCCAGCGCCATGCCCTTAGACTTCTCAGCCTCCGGAACTGTGACCCTAATGACTTTCTGTTCATTATAAACTACCCAGTCAGTGGTATTCTGTTACAGCAGCAGACTAAGACAGAAAATTTATACCAGAGTGTAGGGCTGTTGTTATAACAAATACCTGAATATGTGGAAGAAGCTTTAGAACTAGGCAAAGGTATAATGAACAACCTTTAAAGAAAAATATGATTAATAAAAAGCTAACATTCAGCCAGGTCCTGCCATGCACCACCTAGCTCATTCAACGGCCACAACAGGCCATCACGTAGGTGTTGCTATTATCCCCCATTTTATGGATGAAGTAACTGAGGCAGGTTAAGTAATGAGTGGGGGAACCAGCATTTGAATCCAGGTACATCTGACATTGGACCCCTCACATACAGCAACTCTGCTGTATTGTCTCCAACTAAGTCTCAGAAGTGATTTAGAAAGTCATACAGGCTAAAGGCCAGGCACGGCGGCTCACTCCTGTAATCCCAACACTTTGGGAGGCTGAGGTGGGAGGACTGCTTGAGCCCAGGAGTTTGAGAGCAGCCTGGGCAACCTAGAGAGATCCTGTCTCTACCAAAAGAAAAAAAAAAAAAAAGAATAAATAAATTAGCCAGGGAGATGATCCAAGATGGCCGAACAGGAATAGCTCCAGAGTGCAGTTTCCAGCAAGAGCAATGCAGAGGATGAGTGCCCACCACATTTCTAAACAAATTTTCACTGCCCACAGACCAGCATATTCCCAGGCCGAAAAACGCCACGAGTTTTCACCACAGTGGTTTCAGAAAGCTGGTGCTGGGTTGGTGCACAGAAACTCACACAAATCTGGGTGGCCATTTCAACTGGTGCCTGGAACACCTAGGAGACAGAGCTGCTCATTCAACTGAAAGGGAGGGGGCAGAGACAGGGAGCCAGGCAATCTGGCTCGGCGGGTGCCACCCTCTGAAATGCTCTGGATTGAGAGTTTTGCAGCAAGTGCAATAGGACCCAGGATGGTTCTGCTCAGTGAAGGGAAGGGTGACGACCACTGAGGCAGTCCACCCAGCAGCTGGGCAGAGCCTGCAGCAGCTCAGCAACACCTCTGCTGGCAGACTGTGACTAGGCTACTCCGTGTGGGGCAGGGCATCTGAGAAAAAAGGTAGCAGCATGGCAGGAACTGATAAATAAGGCTGACCTTCCTAGGACAGAGCACCTGGGAAAAGAGGCGTTTATGAGTTCCACTGCAGCAGACTTAAAGCTACCTGCTCAGCAGCTCTGCACGGAATAACGGAGCTCCCAGCACCACACTGGAGCTCCTATAAGGGACAGACTGTCTCCTAAAGCAGCTCCCTGACCCCCGTATACCCAAAGAGACACCTCATAAAGGAGAGCTCAGGCCAACATCTGACAGGTACCCTTCTGGGACGAAGATAACAGAGGAAGAAACTGGCAGCAACCCTTACTGTTCTGCAGACCCCACAGGTGATCCCAAGGCAAGTAGGGTTTGGAGTGGACCTCCAGCAGTCCTGCAGCAGAGGGGCCTGACTGTTAGAAGGAAAACTAAGAAACAGAAAGAAATAACTTCATCATCAACAAAAAGGAAATCCACTCAGAGACCCCATCCGAAAGTCACCAACTACAAAGACCACAGGTAGATAAAGCCACTAAGATGGGAAGAAACCAGCACAAAAAGGATGAAAACACCAAAAACCAGAATACCTCTCCTCTTCCAAAGAATCAGAACTCCTTACCAGCTAGGGATCAAAGATGGATGGAGAATGAATCTGATGAATTGACAGAAATAGGCTTCAGAAGGTGGGTAATAACAAACTTCTCAGAGCTAAAAGAACATGTGCCAACCCAATGCAAAGAAACTAAGAACCTAGAAAAAAGGTTAGATACGATGCTAACTAGAATAAACAGTTTACAGAAGAATATAAACGACTTGATGGAGCTGAAAAACACAGCATGAGAACTTCACAAGTTTCAATAGCCGAATAGACCAAGCAGGAGAAAGGATATCAGAGACTGAAGATCAACTCAATGAAATTAAACAAGAAGGCAACAATAGAGAAAAAAGAGTGAAAAGAAATGAACAAAGCCTCCAAGAAATATGGGATTATGTGAAAAGACCTAATCGACATTTGATATGTGTACCTGAATGTGATGGCGAGAATGAATCCAAGGTGGAAAATACTCTTCAGGATATTATCCAGGGGAACTTCCCCAACCTAGCAAGCCAGGACACCACTCAAGTCCAGGAAATACAGAGAACACCACAAAGATATTCCTCAAGAAGAGCAACGACAAGGCACATAATCGTCAGATTCACCAGGGTTGAAATGAAGGAAAAAATGCTAAGGGCAGCCAGAGAGAAAAAGTTCCCCCACAAAGGGAAGCCCATCAGACTCACAGTGGATCTCTCCGTAGAAACCCTACAAGCCAGAAGAGAGTGGGGGACCATATTCAACATCCTTAAAGAAAAGAACTTTCAACTTAGAATTTCATATCCAGCCAAACTAAGCTTCATAAGCGAAGGAGAAAGAAAATCCTTTATGGACAAGCAATTGCTCAGAGATTTTGTCACCACCAGGCCTGCCTTACAAGAGCTCCTGAAAGAAGCACTAAACATAGAAAGGAACAACCAGTACCAGCCACTCCAAAAACATACCAAATGGTAAAGACCATCGACACAATGGAAAAAATGTGTCAACTAATGGGCAAAACATCCAGCTAGCATCAAAATGGCAGGATCAAATTCACATATAACAATATAAACCTTAAATGTAAATGGGCTAAATGCCCCAATCAACACAGACTGGCAAATTGAATAAAAAGTCAAGACCCATCGGTGTGCTGTATTCAGGAAACACATCTCACATGCAAGAACACACATAGGCTCAAAATAAAGGGATAGAGGAAGATTTATCAAGCAAATGGAGAGTGAAAAAAAGCAGGAGTTGCAATACTAGTCTCTGATAAAATGGACTTTAAACCAACGAAGATCAAAAGAGACAAAGAAGGGCATTACATAATGGTAAAAGGATCGATGCATCAAGAAGAGCTAATGATCCTAAATATATACACACCCAATACAGGAGCACCCAGATACATAAAGCAAGTTCTTAACGACCTACAAAGAGACTTAGACTCCCACACAATAATAGTGGGAGACTTTAACACTCCACTGTCAATATATTAGACAGATCAACGAGACAGAAAATTGACAAGGACATCCAGGACTTGAAATCAGATCTGGACCAAGCAGACCCAATAGACATCTACAGAAACCTCCACCCCAAATCCACAGAATATACATTATTCTGAGCACCACATTACACCCACTCTAAAATTGACCACATAATTGGAAGTAAATCACTCCTCAGCAAATGCAAGTCTCTCAGACCATAGTACAATCAAATTAGAACTCAGAATTAAGAAACTAACTCAGAACTGCACAGCTTCACAGAAACTGAACAACTGGCTCCTGAATGTTGACTGGATAAACAATAAAATGAAGGTGGAAATAAAAATGTTCTTTGAAACCAACAAAAATGAAGACACAACATACCAGAATCTCTGAGATACATTTAAAGCAGTGTCTAGAGGAAAATTTATAGCAATAAATGCCCACATGAGAAGCAAGGAAAGATCTAAAATCAACACCCTAT